AAGTAGAATCTGACAATATATCTCCTTTTTTTTAAGTTTTGTTCTCAATTTCTCATTTAAACGGCTTCTGTTATTCCTGATTATTTCCAAAACGTCAAATCCGTTTTGACAGATATGACAACATTAGCGTGATTGAACATCTTCTTGCTCGCCAAGGCACATGAGTGGACACAAGAACGGTTTATAGTTTAAAAGAAACCTATTCTACAGCGGATAATATTTCCGCTTTGTGCATCCATCCTTCAGTCAATAGGCCTACACAGTCACTTGGCACAGTAGGATGAAGATTAAAAAAAACTTTATCGATATTTGCTTCTCTTTACAACTATTATAGAACTATTTCTCTTGTCTAAACATAGTCATCTTGGTGATCTCATTATCACCATCTTCGACGGGTTATTAATACCCGAGGATATAGCATGGATACAGTTGATCGCTTGGCCTATCGAAAAGAGCTTTTGTTTGACAAGTTTCACACGCGTTTGTCCGTTCACTTGACTCTAATTTATAAAAAGATTTTCCCCACAAGGGTTAACCCAGACTGCTACACAGAGCGTCGACGTGTACAGGGGGGAAATTGGCGTGCAGTAGAAGTTGAATCGTAAACTAAATCTCGGTGATTTACCGACGTCCAAGTCAAGATGTTTCTAGGGTGAAGATCAAAAGAGGGTGGAAGTAGACACCCCTTTAACAATAAATATATCATGTAGTTAATGTTACGAGATAAATAATGGGTACACCACTTGAATTATATAAACATTGGCTAATTGAAACCAAGACAATTTACTTTATTGTTTTTAACTTCACTGTGTGATCTGTTTTGTGATAAAGGGACGATTTCGAGTTTCAGTTAACACGTTTTAACTTTTACGTCAGTTTGACACAGTAAAACAAAGAGTGGTCTTTACTTCATACGTTATATATTGAGGTTCGCTCCCAGTGTTCGCCGAGAAAAGTTCCTCGGGAATTTCCGGCGTGGGTTCTCCTAGTCGGTAGTGCAGGGTGAAGAGCATGGCCAGGTACAGCGGTGTCTAGGCGTTCGGTGGGACGAAAAAACAAGGTTTCGTGTACGCACATTGGCGTAAAAGTATCCTTGGCAGGTGGAACTCGAAATAGAACGGCTATCCGGGAAATTTCAAACCAACCCCTTTTAGTACCAGTGAGATTGCTTTTTTCCAAGTCTAGTCACAACATTAAAACTTACTACTTTTCCAAGCGTAACAACATTCCCAACTTTAATTAACAGAATACCAAACAACAATCTGCAGACGCTACAGCTATATAAATAAATAACATTTTATTACGAGTATTCTATTCAATGAATTTTTTTTTTTTTGAGTGTACGCTTAAAAGGAGCTAAATCTCTTAAGACAAGTGTGTGAACGAAGTTGAACTGATGCAGTAATTTAATTGGTGATGGTTGGTACATGATTAGCTAATATGTCTTGCTAAAAAACGCTGGCCTATCGGATGTGCTTGTGACTAGATGCAGTCTGAGGACTTTCATCGGCTTCCAGGTGCGCCAACCCGCGATCTCGATTTTCTCGGACTCCAGCCCCCCCCCCCACCCTCATTCCTTCTCCGAATATTTGGCGTCCGCCACTGCATTAACCATTGCAAACTCATTTTCGCTCTCATTCAAACATGTGGCTTTATATTCATGAACTAAGGCAAAAGGCATAATTTTTGGAAAGAATTCGGTTCCATAGTTCTGTAGGAAGGAGTCTAATTGTTCGGATGATAGATAAACCGAAGTCGCGTGTACACGTATGCGTGCACGTAAAAGAGCCCTGGGTAGTTTAAATTCAATAAAGAGTGGACTGATGATCACCGTCCGGGCAAAATGTTCCTCATAGCACAATACATGGCGTATGCCTTCATTATTCCGTTGGTGCAGAAAAGTGGGACGTTAATCCATATTTGAGAAATTCGCACAGCTTTCGTATTTGAAAGTAAAAATGAAATACGAGTTAAGAGACTCGGTGAGGCTTGTTAATTGTGGTTAAGAGAAAAAAAATATACAATGAAGTGACTTATAGTAACACTTGAACCCACCTATAACATCCACTTAATATTTCTAGTACCCAGATGTTGGTTTTACTATGTGAATCATCAAAACACGTCAACGATCTCAATCGACTCGACCAGATTTAGTTCTAACACTTTATGTCAGCTCCTAACAAATTTCCCGCGGCAAAACTGAATCGATCTCAAAGTTGAGAGAAGACTTGGGAAGAAAACTTGCTCTCAAAATAAAATGCAGTGCACTAAAATTATACTACGAAGCTAAACACGTAATGAAAGTGTATTTGGCACGTTTCTCTGGCTAAGTCCACATAGCATTCTATTATCACGTCTCTTATATTCCGGTAGGTGCAGACGTTAAACCCCATTTCATTTCAATACCGAGTCGTTCTGTATTTATCGACTTCAAATGACATTAAGAGTCGATAGTACTATATTTTTTATTGATTGATTGAATGAATGAAAGAATGTATGAATGGAATGGGGTTTAATGTCCAACCTGTTATGACTAATGATGACGGTGTGTGCTATGAGGGTAATTTTGCACGGGCGGTGGGCAGTAACTGAATTCCAACTGTCAAGGGCTCTTTTTTGTGCACACCAACATGTACACGGGGTCCCCGGTCCTTACCAGGCACTTTGTTCTGCACCACTGACAAGGAGAAACCACAGTGGAAAATGCTGGCCAACACCTGGATTGAACTGGGATCCCCTGGTGAGTGAGCCAGTGTCTAACCCACTAATCAACCCTGGGCAATATTTTATTATAAATACAAGCAACATCATTTTGATTATATATATAATTCCAAGGCATTATAAAATAGTCGCCATTTAGAATTTTTTTTATATATTTTTGATTTGTTTTTGAGAACTAAGTGTTAAATAATCAATCTGATTACATTTTTTTAGTAAGGATTAAACCGTGAAAAGATATCCTCCAAAAAAATGTTAATTAATAAAATGGCAGTAACAGAATTATCATGTGATGTCTATGATGATATTGACAATATGATATGGATCATTGTACTATAATGTAATATCACATGGGAAGAAGATTGTACAATTTTATAATATCATAAATGATGAGGACGATTGTAGTAGAATATAATGATATACCATGAGGACGATTGTACTATACTATAATATTATATTTTGAGACCAATTGTACTATAAATGAGGATGATTGTACTGGAACATAGAATGATACATTATTAAGATGACTGTACTATATAGAGAATCTCCTACCAGTCTTTTTTGATATCAAAAAATATCAACACAAGCCGAGTTTTTTTTACTTTATCAACGAGTGTTGATATTTTTTGATATCAAAAAAGACGAGTAGGAGATTTTATTTATCACCCAATCCCTTCTTACATGCACAAATAGATAAATATAATTCTTTGCTGTAGATTTCACTTTTACTGAACATTACCGCGTAGTGATACATCATTTTTTGACAGCAATTCAACCATTGCAAAGTCCTTTATATTGACCCAGTGTTTCCATCAAGGTCAACTGAATAACAATAGTTCATTTTTAATAAAAAAAAAAGTTACTTTTAATAAGAAATGAACTGTTCTTTGTAAATAAAAAAAAGTAGTTACTTTTCAACTAACCAATCAAATTTATGTAAAGCTATATCTCCTTAGGAGATATCACAGTAGATTATGAAATATATCACACAAGCGATATCTACTGTAGAATGTATTTTTGGGTGATAAAATGTGATGTATGAGGACGATTGTATTATATAACAGGGAGATTATATGATGAAAATTGTATTATGATGTGACGTGATGACATGATTATATTTTTATGAGATATGAGGGAAATTATTGTATTAGGATGTAAGATGAAGGTTATAGCATTTATTATTGCTTAATTACAGTTACTACCATCTACATGTGATATGATGAGTGACAATGATTGCACTATTGTATGATAGAACAAAGTTAATAGTATTTACTGTGATTATGTACTGCTATATAACTAAAACTGCTTCATTCAATACCTTATATTATGATATTTGTCAGTAATAACAACTTTATATAACAAACTTTGTACAATGGGGTGAGTGAATGGGGAATAGTAATAGTAACATTTCTGGAAAGAGGCAGGGTTGTAACTTACTGTAATGTTACCCTTTACTAGAGAGAGAGAGAGAGAGAGAGAGAAATGGGGTTTAATGTCCACTCGACACAAACTAGGTCATTTCGGGACTAACACATGGTTCAATTTTATTTCAATAATTCGCTTGCGCGTAGGGGTCTTTAGCAGTGGGAGGAAACCGGAGGACCCGGAGAAAACCCATGAGGTTGGACAGATGACACTACTCCTTGTCATGTACAACCAGGGATTCGAAACCCCACCAGTTGACTCAATGACAGACCGTATGATACAGTGCAGCGCGCACGTGCTAACCATTCGGCCATCCAACACCCTCCCTTTAATGACAGTTATTTAAAATTGTGTCAATACCTAGTGAGGGTATATGTCATCAATTTATAGAGAATGTAGAATATGTTGTCTTGTAACTATCTACTCGTATTAACCAGCTGTAAGATTCAAATGAAAGTGTATAACTATAGCTTTGCTCTAAATAACTAGAAAATTTTAATTTAAATATATATTTTATATAAGATAAGGAAACCAGATTAAAATTGACCAGGAAAAGTAAAAAAAAAAATTTGTCCCCTCCATCCCCTAGGTTTTTTTTAAAGACCTGAACAACCAATCACAATTGCAAAATGGTCTCATGATAATTGTTGCCTTTGAAGTATTATCAAGGGGCATAACTCCATGAGTTATTGTCAGAAATTGTTGAAAATCCAAATGCACCTTATACCAAGTTGAACAATCTACAAAACTTCAAAAACATTCAAATGCAGTTGTGGTCTCTAGAGGGTTAACAAGAAATTGTGGACAGATAATTAAACTGTAATCCTATTCAAATGTGGGCCTAAAAAAAGAAAACAATCTTGAAAGGCTTTTAACTGATGTTGTTGTTTATTAATTATCCTCAATTAAAGTCATTGATAATTAACATAATAACACTATCCCTGTTCAATATAGAAACTTTACTCCAAACACATATCAATGGTCTTAATTGTTCTATTCCCAAAAAATATACACAAACTAAACAATGGGATTATATACTTATAAAATAATGGTATAATGTCTGACACATACATTCAGATCAATGTAGAACAAAAAAATCTTAATTACTCAACGCACTAATCTCTTCTTGATTGGATTATTGATTTTTAATCCAATAGGACATGTCTTTTAATCCATACATAATTCTCTACTGGAGAGGCAGCCATTTCACTGAATCCTTCAGTTTTAAAGTAAATCATTTAAAGGTTTCACATGTTTGTAAATTATTATTGGATACTAGTACTAGTTTTCGAAAGAATAATTAAACCAGCTAGGCTACACCACACTTTTCTTGGTAAGTTACTTTTTCTTTTTATTTCAATCCAGTTTCATGCATCCACAGGCTTTTCAGCAAGTTTACAAATAAAATCCCATTCTTCTGCAAAGAAAACAAAATAATAACTATCTATTTCATTAGCTTTATTATTTGTTTCAAATACACATAAATGTATGCTTCCTTATGAATGAATGGGGGGGGGGGGGTCGAGTGCTCTAACATGAGTGCTTTAGGTCATAAGATCTGCCATAGAGTCAAGTGGCATGGTATCAATTTCGTAACAATGAGTAGGGTCAACTGTCCAGTCTCATGGGTTTTCTCGGGGTCCTGTTTTCACCCAGTGCAATTTATTGAAAAACAATCAACCATTTGTCAATCAACCATTTATAACTTGGAGAATTCTGACTCATAATTAACATTACCAAATTATCCTGTAACCACTTTAGACATTAAACAATAACACATACTTATGGAAAAACAGAAAACAGCTACTAATTTATTTGGGTGACGACTGACGAGGAGTATTCTCTCAAGGTTATCATGCTAATAAATAAGTCGCTTATTTTCCATAAGCATGTGTTATTGTTTATTTCTCTATCCAGTCACTAAATGCCTATAACTATTATTATCAATCACCCAATCCAAACATATCTACTAATTTTTAACGACCAAATAATTGGGGGGGGGGGGGGGGGGGGGGGGAGAATATTAGTTTGTTCGCGTTGGTTTTAATGTTCAAAGTATTCCACAGGCCACTAAATGACTCAGTTTATAATCAATTTTAACTCTGCTATTCAGTCCACACCATTAAATAAAGTATTTTCCAGTAACACTATTACATGTACATGCTTGAAGCATTGAGCAAATCCTTGGATCTTTTATTTTACTGTAATCTACTTTCTGAGCCATGCTAAACTTTATTCACAATGACTATTGAGTGATTACTAGATGAACGAAAAAATTTTAATCTTTAAAACTAATATTACGATCAAAATAAAGCTCAAAAGTTATGGAGTGTATTTCAAAATTGCTTTCCTTCTATTGCGCCAATAATTCGCTTGCGCATAGGGGTCTTTAGCAGTGGGAGGAAACCGGAGGTCCCGGAGAAAACCCACGAGATTGGACAGACGACCCTACTCCTTGCCACGTACAACTGGGGAATCAGGATATGTGGATTTTTTTATGTACTGTACTGTACAGTTTGAGCCTTTTTGTATATCAATGTCTAATACCAGTTTACAAATCGATTAGTTTTCAAACCTACCTTCTGTAACAGGTTGTACTGATAGTCTAGCTTTTGTAAATAAAGCTATATTTCTTAGAGGTCCTCCATTAGCTTTGTGACTGATATGTAATTCCTTTAACTCCTTTAATGACACATATCTTTTTAAATCATACTCATATTTAACATCTACCATAACCCATCTTGGATTATCTTTATCTGATTTCCTGTGAAAATGAAAATTTTTCATTATCATTTGTAAAATCAGTTTATTATATTAATTATATCAACCTGTCCAGCCTCTGCTACTCTTTTTTAAAGAGAGTATTCCCATCACCTTCCCTGCCTCTTGAATTTTAGAATGAACAAACTTCTCAAATAAATGAGAAGTGGTATCAGGTGTTCAAGAAAATATAAACATATCCTGTCTCATGCTTGACACATACCCCTTATCTATATCTCAATAATTTATTGACTGAAATTTCAGAAGATGAGTGTACTGGTTGTGGAAGGTTATTTGGTGTATTTCAGAACTACAAATATTTTAACTAATATATAAATTTTTCAATCAGGTGCAAATTTTTATGAAAAAAGATTTGGCAAAATTCTGATAGATTTCAATTGTTGAAGTACAAGGCTGTGCTTAATTACATAGTAACAACATTCTTTACATTAAAATAGGAAGCCATGGTGCGATAGTTATGTATTTCCATCTTGACTGTCCAGGAAATAGTTCTATGACGTGCATGAATTTTGTGTATTCATATTGACATTTATTAAACTCTGCCACTTACGCATCATAATATGAACTCTTTTTATCAAACTGTGTATGATCTGGATAAGCTTCTTTTACAATCTATAACACAAATATCAAACAATTACCTTGATTACATTGTAAATAAATATTATAAATATATATCTATTTATACAGCTTCATAAATCCCTAACATGTACCAATAATTACCATACAGTATCTACATGTACTAGGGAGCACTGGTGGCTCAGGGAGTAAAGCGCAGGTTTGATCCCAGTGCTCTAAATTCTCTGATGTGGTTTCCTGTTGTCAGTGGTGCATGACGGAGAGCCTGGCAAGAAACAGCATCTAATCATTCGGATGGGATAAATAAATTGAGTGTGCACGTAAAAGTTGGAATTCCATGTACTGACTTTACCTTATCGATGGCAAAGAACCAAAATATAAGCCTAGCTTCTAAATTGGAAATATGGTACATTATGTGGTCTTTATAATGTTTCTCCAACCTCGTGGGTTTTCTCTGGGTCCTCCGGTTTCCTCCCACTGCTAAAGACCCCTACGTGGAAGCGAATTATTGAAATAAAATTAAACCATATGTTAGTCCCGAAATGACCTAGTTTGTGTCGAGTGGATGTTAAACCCCATTTCTCTCTCTCTCTCTTATAATGTTTCATTTAACACTTCCATATATTTAATTGATTTTGAAAAAAAAATTAATGTTTCATTTAATGCTTTTATATTAACATAAAATAGAACATGAAAAATTATTACCGAACATACTCCAACAATGCCTGGTATTTTTGTGTTACTGTGATAAAAAAATACTTTATCACCCACTTTCATTTGATCTCTCATAAAATTACGGGCCTGAAATAAATTAGAATACAGCCCATGCGATTTTCATACAAGATTACAAAATAACTTCCACTATTTATGTTTTTTTTAAATTAATGGCAACATTTTTTGGACTTTTTGTATTTTCTCAGTGTTCATTACTGTTAAAAGTCTAAAATATCACTTTTCTATTGGGATTTCTTCATAATAGCATCAGTGCTGGATTTAGATGAAGAGAGGCCCTAGGCTATTCCACTTATGAGACCCATCCCACTCACCCAACTAGAGGAAGATTAAAGTGGTTTTAAACATGTTAAGCAATGCCGAGGATGATGATGGATGTTTAAGACAACAATGCATGTAGGCCCCCTAGATATTGTTAGACCTTTCTAATAGTAATATATGCACTAACAGCAAAGACGTCTATGCCTCCTTCAAGTTCTTTTATCTTTTTTTTTATCAAGTTCACAAGATTTCATAAATTTGAATATAATTCTATACCTGATAGTTTCTTACTCCATCCCAATAAGATGTCTGATCTGTACAAGCTTTCAGATCTTCAAACCCAAACTGAATTAAAGTACCACAGTATTATTAGTAACTTTTATATAAATCAACAATAATAAATTAATGGCATCTTAATCTTTGGTTTCCTCCAATATTTATCCCTGTAAATAAATGTTTTAGTTTATTAACTATACTAAGAAACTAGATTTTCACCTTAACATCAATGCCATTTTCCATACGAGTATCTGGCTCTGACTTCATAAGCCAACACGTATATCTCTCAGATACATGAAGTCCAGTTTTAACTTCTACTTTCTCAATTTCTCGTTTTCTTTTCTTTGATTTAGATTTTTCGTCTGATATTTCTGAAACACCAAATATAATGCATGAATAAAGTAAGTTTAAATTAAAAATTGGTGGGGTTAAATTTCATAAACTTTAACTAGAAATGATATATCTTACTATCATCAGAAATCAATTTGTATCTTAACATTTTTTGTAATTATTTTCTTTTTTTATATCGTAAACTTCATATCTCTTATTGTCATATACTTTGCTGCCGTTCAAGATATCTGACCTGTACCTCTAGTTGATAGTTTTTATCACAGACTGAATCACAATAAGGAGTCACATCCTTGGCACTGCAGGATCCAGCTTAGTATCCAATCAATCATGCCAATAAATTAATAACGCAGTTAAGTAGTGATTCATCTCAGCTGAGTCAAGGAGTGCCTGTCCCTGCTGTCAGGTTCTATTTTTTAGGTTTAATTTAAAGTAGCTAAGTCTCTAACTCAATATCATTCAAAATCTTTGACATTGAAAACACAAATTATTTGTCGGCTTAAATAAACACTGATGTTGTGATCTTACCGGGAAAAGATGGCCTTCTGACATCCAATATTTAGGACAAAATAAACATTTTACAATTGGTACACGAATCGTATACCATAACGCATTTCAGCGTTATTTGTAATAAGGGACTTGAAAAATGAGGCTAGGCATATTCCACAAGTCATGTCAAACGGTGACGCTATATTCTTATCTGGAGAGTATGCGCAGTAAATATCTTCGGCGTAGACTGGAATAACCAGACGCTAGAGATTGCCATTCGATTGAGACTTCTGGCGTATTTTGCCGAACCTTACTGATTAGAAATTACAGTAAAAACAGAAACGATTGAATGTAAATCAATTTATATACATTCATATTACATTATTGTATGTGTTGCGACCCATTTGTGTCAGTTTCTAGGTCCCAAATATTAGCGATTTAGCGCCTTTAAGATTTATATTGTATCAACATTATAGTATAGTACAATACTACGAAAGTTACAACATAAACGTTTCTGGGTGTCATATATTCATAGTTATTAGTAGGCCTATAGTCTATACATAGAGTCAGAGTGCAGGGCAGTGGTGTCATTTGGTTCAATTAAAAGATTAATTTTTAAATACAATAGTCTATACTATTCCAAACACCATTTGTATCATGATTTACGGTGGTTTTCCTTTTTCTCTTCGGACCCATACTGACAAATCACAAAATCTAATTAGCTTTTCAGGCTGCTGAATAATTCACCAAAACATCACTTTTATGAAACTTTCACTTTTTCATATACTTCCCGCAAAATGTAGTCGTTTGTCATCCAGTCTTACAATAATTATTGTATTCAGATAACGACAAGACGTTTTGACGATACGTCTTTACATCCAAGTCTACGAAAACGCGTCATATCCGCCGGGTATTTAATTAGCGCATGCGTCGTGACATAGGAATTACAAGATGGCCGAAAAGCGTCCGTTGCAACGGAAAAAAGTGTTGTGCCAACTGTGAAGATGTACAACTTATCAATATATTGACCAAACCTGCAGTGTATATTCTGTTATTGCGCTTTCCAAACATTTATACAAACTTTCTACAGATCTTTTCACTAATATGAAATTCTAAAATGGATTTAGATCTCTATATATTCAATAACGTGGTTGTTATGGATTGAAAACCGAGACGAGAATTATTGAAAACAGACAAATCTGTTGTTTGTTAGCGCTGATTTTGTATTCTAGATCAGGTATCATGAAATAGTGTTATATACATATTTATGAAAGAAAAGTGAAAATTTAATAATAAACTTGGATTTGATTTTAAAAATCCAAAACGTTGCATGGTTAATCTGACTACAGTACAGTAACTCAGTACAATTGAATTAGATTAGATTTAAAAAAAACATTATTAGTATTACTATTAGCTTACTTACATAATAATTCATTAATAATTGTGAACTTGGGACTTGGTGTCTGTATTGAGGGTTTAGTTGACTTCAAAGGGACAATCAACTTTTTGTGACTGCTTTGGTTTGAGTTTGACAATAAATAATTAAGCTTCGGATATAAAAGGTTCTATTAATATATATTCATCTAAACACTGACTAAGGACTAAGTAAAAGGCACATGATAATTGTGAGAAATCAATACAGAAACCAGTGTAAACTTTGTATGGCCATACCATAACTAAAGTTAGAATTTTTCAATTGGTATAAATATTTGACCAAAATGTGTGGGTTTAATTTTTTTAATAAATCTAAAATTAAACTTACTCTTTATTGTTTGTGTATGGTCTCAAAATGAATCTGCCATGTTGGGCCTTTGATTTATTTCTTGCTTTTTTGGCAATTTCAGTGTATAAGTTATGATTTAATTGTTTCTTGGTAAACATGGCTATGTTTTGAAGGATTTAATGGTACAGGTTGTGATTAGTTACCTGTCTGCCAGGTGTAAAAACTGTAGAAATGTTAAATGAGGCATGACAATTATGTTAGGGTAAGCACTGTGTGGATAGGGTTTAAGCAAGTCAAGTGTGTATTTCTTGAGGCCACTCTACAGAACAGAGTATCGGGTCATCAGGATTGTACATCAAAAATTTATATATCACATTGGATGGTAAAATTTTTAATAATTTCTGAGTCATTCCAGTATTTATTTTCCAATTCATAAAATACGATACAGTTCAGATGTATTGATAATAATCTAAGATTTTTTGTTACTGCAAGCTTAGAGATTTTGAAATTTTTCAGATCTAGATTTCACAGGTAGAAAATTTTAAACTCAGTGGAATTATTCATCAAGGTACATCTTTAAAGAAATAAACCCCCTTTTTTCTGTTCACATTGTTGACATTAAAGCTTTGTTTGTTTTGTTTTTTTAAGAATGGCACTGCAAAATTTCTCAACAAGGATTTTAAAGTTAGCATGGGCGAATTAGGTGGGGCTGACAAACCACCCATTTGTTGTTTCAGTATGATTTATCCACTTTTATTACAGGGTTAATCAGTCCATACATAGATCTCAATGGCTCTAGCTCAATCATCAGTACCAGCTATTCCAGCAAGGTAATCATTTAAAAGTCTTCATTCAATCAAATGTTTAATAAACTTTAATTTTTAGTATTTGTTCTCATTTTTGTTTGTCTGGTACATGTAGTGAGATATAATTATATTTTTAATAAACTATGACAAAGTCTCCTTGGTAATTTACTTTCTCTTCCAAGATAAACCTAATTTTAATAAACTATTACAAAGTGTCCATTCTAATTTTCTTTTGTCTTACATAAGATAAACCTATCTTTATAAACAATTACAAAGTCGCCATTCCAATTTTCCTTAGTCTTACACAAGGAAGGTAAAGATATTTTTAATAAACTATTACAAAGTCACTTTTCTAATTTTCCCTAGTCTTGAATACATTACTCGTTGGCTGAATTGTTTCTAAATGTTCTGTTAATGATAATTTATTTATTTCTACTATATTTCAGAATATCAAATATGGATCCCAATTTTAACAGGCCAAGTTCCGCCTTGGCTAGAGGTGTTCAGATTACAGAATTTAAAGACACTTCAGTAAATCCTGAACCAGTGGTTCTCGAAGAAACAGAAATATTATTAGAACAATATCTGTCCCCAAGAAAATTAGTAAGTAAAATAAAACTGTTATATTCATATTCCAAAGACAAAAGACAAGAAATAGAATCTTTGATGTAATCTGTCATATCTGGTTTCTTGATTTCATTTTGACTAAAGGTCATTAAAAAACAAATTCCCTTTCAACGATGTTAAGCCAAAGGTAGAATTTGTTATTAGTCTACTAAATCTCTTTCTAGCATTGAACAATTAAACATACATTATGGGAGATTAGATAAAGAGCTGGTAGTACTCACTATAAAAACTAGATAATGTAAAGGGAGTTTGTTGAAAATTTCAGTCAAATTGATTCACCCTGAACCAAGTATTTAGCGATTTAATTTTGGGCCTAGCCTCGATCATTACTAAAGTCGATACAATAAAAAACATTATCCATTTTTTGATTTAATCAGAAGCAGCAGACCAGGTTCTAATCCAGTAAATATCGCAGGCTAGCGATGCCATCGAGAGTTGATTATGGCCTGGATCAGTTAATTAATGCCTAATTAATAATTTAGAAAATATTTCAGACCTAAAGAAAGACCTGCAATAGGCAGATTTAGCTCTTGCATAATGTATGTTTAATAAGAAAAATACCGTTATGTTTAATTTGTGTCGGAATATCCATAAAAACAGAGAAAAGAGAAAAGTATATTAGTCTGGAGGCTCAGTAATTCTGTAGTATTTTTTTGCGTAGAATACGATGTCGAGTGGTAATCAGTCCACTGTTGGGGCGTTTTCGAGATATTCGGCGTCAAAGGTCAAATGAGGTCATTTACACTGAAAGTGAATACGTAGCCATTCTTGTATCATGAAAACATGCTGAAAATGATAGAAACTAATCACTCTTTCAATAAAAATGTACACTTGCTAAATTCACCTTTGTTTTCTGTGACCCTGGAGGTCAAGAGGTCAAATTGTCCATTTTTGCACTAGAAAGATTTAATGCTATACACATCAGCGTAAAATATAAAAACTAAAGAGAAACATTTTCTAATTAATAATAGGAACATTTGAAATTTATTTTAAGGGGGTCTTAGCACCGTACGTTTACTTTGGAATGTCGAAAAAGATTCTGCATAACAGGATGCAGACACTTCGAACCTGTTTCAAATATAAATAAAGATTGTCAAGAATGATACAAAAATGATACAAGAATCAACAATGGACTATTACCACTCGGCATCATATTCTATGCAAAATTTTACTCCAGGAAAGTTGGGTCTGGTTTTGTGCCCATTTGATTGACACCTCCACACACTGAGCCTCCGGTCTATATGTGCCTTAATACCGAAATGACAATCATCAGATAGCCGTTGACAACAGTATAATCTTATTTCTATTTCCAGGATCAAAAATAAGTATGCCTTGTTTATTCGATTAATTGTCTTTTGTTAGATATTTTGATTTTCACCTATCTTCCCTACTGGGATTAAGCCGTTTTTTAAACCAAGATTATAAAAAATGATCTGCTTTTGAATTCCAGAAACTTCTTACTGGATCTGATAATTTAGAAGAGGTGACGTCTCTAGATCTTAAAGTAGACACAACAGAAACAAGTTTAGGAAATTTTGGATCCCTTTTACCGAATCTAACACAACTTAAGATGTCAGAAAGTGTTGTCCATTCTATCAGGTAGTAATAATATTATTAAACGTAAAAAAATATGACCGTCGCAAGTTATGTCCAGATCTCTTTACAGTCAGACAAGAAATTAATGGTTCTTGAAGTTAATGTAACCCATCATAACCTATTCTTATTTAAATTAAGTGACTTCTCTTAACTTTATGTTACCATTTTAAGTTATCAATGACTTTGATTGGACTGCCATGTGGCATGTCATTAACCCCATTATGTTTGACAATTTACAGGAGTATTGCAATTAATGCTTCTGAGGGTAGGATACATATCATTTTTGCTCACATTTATTTTTGACTTACAGTAATGGAACAGTCATTTATTAGCAAAAGTTTGCTCATTTTTTAGATGTTTTTGAAACGTCTGTTTTAGACTGTTCCATGAATGGACAGTAAGAAGGTCTATAAAAAACATCCTTGCAGTCATGACTTTCCCTTACACCAGCCTGTTATTTCCTAATGATTGTTGTGTATTTTGAAATTATTGTGTATAAAGCTGGTTGTTCAGCCAGATGAAGAAACACCCTTGTTGCGAACTTTGTTTGATGATTTCAGTATTTTGTGTGTTTTATAAAATGTAATGCTCTGTAAATAGATTTTACTTACATTATACCATTACATTTTAAACAGAGATATAGGATCATCATTACGTGGTGTACGTGTATTATGGATGTCACAGTGTGGTTTACATGAAGTAGATGGTATTTCATCAATGACTAGTTTACAAGAATTATATTTACCCTATAATGAAATATCTGATATAAGTACATTAAGTATGTTAGATGATTTACAGATTTTAGATATAGAAGGGTGAGTAATGGTTATTTTAACAGTTAAAAAGTTTCTCTTCACATCAAGGAGAAGCTACATTGTATAGTCATGTCTGGGGGGTTGGATGGCCGAATGGTTAGCACGCGCACGCTGTATCATACGGTCTGTCATTGAGTCAACTGGCGGGGTTTCGATTCCCGGGGGGGGGGGGGGTGGATGGCCGAATGGTTAGCACGCGCCCGCTGTATCATACGGTATGTCATTGAGTCAACTGGCGGGGTTTCGATTCCCCAGTTGTACGTGACAAGGTGTAGGGTCGCCTGTCCAACCTTGTGGGTTTTCTCCGGGTCCTCGGGTTTCCTCCCACTGCTAAGGACCCCTACGCGCAAGCGAATTATTGAATAAAATTGAACCATGTGCTAGTCCCGAAATGACCTTGTTTGTGTCAAGTGGACGTTAAACCCCATTTCTCTCTCCCTCTCTCGATTTCCCGGTTGTACGTGACAAGGAATAGGGTCGCCTGTCCAACCCCTTGGGTTTTCTCCGGGTCCTCCGGTTTCCTCTCACGGCTAAAGACCCCTACGCGCAAGCGAATGATTGAAATAAAATTGAACCATGTGTTAGTCCCAAAATGACCTAGTTTGTGTCGAGTGGACGTTAAACCCCATTTCTCTCTCTCTCTATAGTCATGTCTGCTTAAAACAGTGAATTTTGTTGGGCAATTTTTTCTCTAAGTTTAAGTTTTTAAAACTGTGTTCCTTAATGCATAATTTGACCCTGAATGTATTTGACCCCAAACAGCCAGGACATATACAATTTTAAATATTCAAATTGCATAAATTAAATGCCTACAAAAAGTTAAAAAGTTAATTATTACAAAGCATTGACCACTGTTTCGGCTGTTGCCGTTAGAGCTCTGTCTCATGTTCACATGTAGTATATATATGATACTACAATAACATTGGTAGATATTAAATTTAGTGTCACTTGAAGTATATTAAGATAGATTATGGTTGTTTATATTTAGAAAATATTATATTTTTCAGTAATAATATTGATGATATAGCACAGATGCAGTATTTAGCTTTATGTCAGAATTTAACCAGATTAACTATAGAAGGAAATCCAGTTTGTGTCATGAGAACACCTGACAGTGAAGAGGTGAGAAATAAAATTTTTTGGTACTTTTATATAAGAAATTTTTACAATGTGATATAGTTTAAAGTAGTAATATTAGATGTTCAGAACAGAAAAGAGTAAACTTATTTGTGTTGTACACTTAAATTATGTAAATTATACAAAAACACCTCTAAAATTTAGATCTGTCGAGATGGACGCCACAGGTATTTAGTACAGTTTCTTGATTTTTCTAATTATATTTTGTAGGTAAACTATAATTATAGAGAAGCAGTAAAGAATATTTTGCCTAATGTAGAGATTCTAGATGATGAACCTTTAATAACTGGATCTCAACCATCTATGTCACTTAATGCTTTCTATAAAGATTGGGAATATTTAGAAGAATTACAGCATGATGCCTTATTACAGTCACCAACAGATGAAGATGATACACAAATTGATGTTGGTTGGTAATCTAATTATTGGATTTTTATTTGCCTACATTGAGATATGGCCCTTCATTAATTTGAAAAATATGTGGAACCTCTTGTGGCTTAAGTTATTATCTGTTGGGTAGAACTGGAAGACAATCAAATTTTAGTCAGTCCTGATAATTACTACTACTACTATAGGTTGTTAATCTTGATCAGTTTCAATGTCTTGTAAATGCTACAAAAGAACAAATATGTGACAACCTTTGTGGACTGGTCAGATGACTTGGCTGTTGTGGGCATATATTACAATGTAATAATTACATTGTAGGCATCTCATTCACCCAAGATCATCAAATATCTTGTAAAAATACTTTTCAGAACTTGTGTTTTGATTTTGAATTAATGAAATGAAAATATGTCTTCATCTTATTATTTATTTAAAGGAGAAAATATATGATTTCAAACAATAACAAGTGGTTGCCATGCAAGATTCGCCCACATTTTGCAAAAGATGGACAAGCTCAAAAAAAGAAGCAATTTTTCATATAATCAGGGGTCATAATCCAGGAAGTTTCGGTCCGATATGTGTGAATATCTACATGTGAATGTCCACAACCTTGGTATTACATACGTTTACACTATTTGCGTACAATGAGCGGTTTTTTGTCAGACAATTTCGGTCTGATTTTCACAGAATTGGAACTCAACCATTGTTCGGGTGTAACGGTGAAATATTTAAATATTTAAACGTTTTTAGCTTATGGGTCCACAAGCTAAAAATATGATTTTTCATACAATCAAGAGCCACAATCCAGAAAATTATTGTCCGATATGTGCGAACATCAAAAGTAACCAAGATCTTTGGGATATAAACATACTTTTAAGTTTAATCTAAATCAGATAAAGATTGTGACCTCTAGAGTGTCCACAAGCTAAAAACGTGATTTTTCGTACAATCAGGGGCCATATTCCATGAAGTTTCAATCCGATACATGCCAATATCAATAGAATCCAAGATCTTTTGGAGATAAACCTATATTTCAAGTTTCGTCAAAATCAGATTCAAAATTGTGACCTGTAGATTGTTCACAAACAAATTGTGGAGGTCTGGGCGGATGGACAGGGGCGACAACAATATACGTCTACATGAAAATGTGGGCATATAAAAATCCACCTCTTTGTGTCATATTTTTATCTTATATTTAAAGGAGAAAATATATGATTTCAAACAATAAAAAAAAACATCTCTTTGTTTCAGGCAGTCGACCAGGAACTGCTGCCTTAAAACCAGCAACAGCATATCGCCCTGGGTCAGCATTAAGACCATCTTCTGGATTCCGTCCAATATCGGCATCAACTAAACGACCTGCTACTATAAGCGGAAGACCCTCCACTAGCATTAGACCAACTACAGCTTTTGCTGAAAGACCTGCTTCAAGTGGTAAGTAAATCTTTCATTCCTCACCTATACTATTGTTAAATATAGATATATAAGATATTATAAGCCGTGTATTATATCCTTGAATGAATAGTAATAAAAAAGTACTAAGGAATTTGTTAGAAATTTGAATTCAAGTAAGAAGTGATATCAGGTTTTCCATAAAGTGAATAGTCATATACATTGCCCCTTGCATGACATGAAGAGATAGTTTATTTAGACATGGAGTTCCGAAACTGTAGCTTACAGGTAGAGCATAATTACTGTCCGAATTTAAATTGAAATAAATATATATATATAACTATAAAAACCTCATGCATTTTAATCCCAGATGCTGCCGAGACGACGACTGATGGTGCTAGTGATTTAACATTAGGTAGTGTTATATGTGGTAACCCATCTCGTGCATTAAGAGAAAGAAGGAAGATAACGCCCAAAACACCAGATCAAGATGAATTTAGTTTTAATACACCTAGAAATACAGTGAGTAATAGTCTTCATGATCTTCAAACCAATTAAAATACAGATTTATATTTCGTTTCGTTTTATCATACTTTCGATGGACTCTACTGCATGAAGATCTGACCAGTTGTAATTGGAGGTCACGTTAGTGGTCATACTAGTGGCTTTTCACCCTATGACGTCAGACATTTGATTAACCGATCAACATTGATGTTTCTAGTAGGATACCCACAGTTCCGTGCATCGCACGCCAAGAACTCGCTGCAATGGACCGTTTCATTGGCTAATCCCTCACATCAACCAGAATGCAGGTTATATAACAACTATTCCAGATCCTACTGTAGTAAAAACAAGTAAAACAAAATTTTGAACTATAAAAAACAAAAGGAAATAGGATCCTTTTTGTAGTCTCTAGTTCAGCTACACCATAGTAAATGTGACATTGGAAAAAAATTGTAATTTTTTTTTTGTAGCAAAAGACAAGTAATAAAAGTATAGATGAAGAAGAAGACAGTAAAACTAATATTGTAGAAGAATTAAAAGAATGGAGAAAAGATCATAATGAGTAAGTTATATATAAAATAATTCTACATGTATGCAGGATTTTGGCTTTAAACTGATTTCATTGACATTGTTGAATGCTGTCCTTAATTTCTATGACGACCATTATGAGGTAGCAAAGGAAATCATTTCCAAGGTTTGAGGACAGGAAAATTAGAGATTCTTTGGCATAATTGATCCACATATAATTTCCACATTATGAGATTTTTGTCAGGTATCTAAACCATTCTTCTACCTTCCTCACATAATATAGAGTGGGTATCAGGTGTTATTAAGTGAAATAGATTTAACATTTTCTAGTTAATCCAGCACCACAAAACTGTGGGATATCTCCAGAACAATGTGTTGCCCCCCCCCCCCCCCCCAAATATACTGGGCCACTTCTACAAAAGTGATTGCCAAAACTGTGGGCTACCTCCAGAACAATGTGTTCCCCACCTCCCCCATATTTACTGGGCCACTTCCACAAAAGCTCCCAAATGCATGTGTCGGCAGCACAAAACTGTGTGCTACCTCCACAAAAACTGATTTGACATTTCATAGTTCTGTCCAAAACCAGTGGTAATGCTGGGGGACTTGATTGCAACCCTATGGCACCACTTAAGTGCATGTTTTTTCTCAATGACAGTGTGTGCTATGCCCCCAAATGTATATGCTACCTCCACAAAAGTGTGTGCTACCTCCCAAATTGGTGTGCTATTCACTAAATGAGAGACGCAGATGTGGAATAAGACCACTCATCTTTATCTTTGTTGGCGTAATTATATCCTGATATAAAACATATGTTACTGTGTACTACATAAATTGTTTTCTTTTTCAGTCGAATGGTCAGGTTACAAGAAACTAAGACAGCTGAAGTGTTAGTGATTGATCACCATGACGATAACGAAGATAGTTCAGTAGACGATGATTATATAGATATGACCAAATCTAATAAAACTGCTAATTTAACAAGAAAGAAAGCATTAAATGACAGTAAAAATTACGGTCGTGGTGATAAACATGATGAAGTGCATGATGTTCATTATGAAATAAATGAAGATGTACTTAAAAAACATCGTTCTGCTAGCCCCACTAGACGGTCAAATAGTTCAGGTTATAACAGAAATGAAGATAAACAGAAACCAGTTTTAAATCAGATACACGACATCAGGTAACGTTGGAATTGTTTTCTTTCAAGGACGACAGGCTATAAATATTAAAATATTCTGAAAGTTTCGAAACTATGAGAAGCATTGTGTAACCACATCTTGAATCTTAGGATGAGCCTCTTTCTCCTTGACTTCAAATGAAAGGAATTAAATTAAAATATTTCAATTAAACAAGAGTAAAGAAATCAATAATTGTAGTTTATATTGAGTTTTGAGATTGCTAGTTTTGTTTTTCATTCAAGGATATTGTTTATCTTGTATTAATAATATTCTTCATTTTTAGGTTCCCCTATGAATCCAGTGGAATGTCTGTACCAGTAGTTAAGACTCCTCCGGAAAAAGTTATGCCACCCATTGTACCTCGATCAGCTTCTTCCCGAGCAGTGTTACCCACACCACCTCGAATCAGACGACAACTTCCTCAAGTACCAAGTTTACCTTCTAAACCGTCATCTCCAAAATCGTAGCTTGTTTTAAAACTACTTACAAACCAGCATTATTTATGTGCAGAGTTCAACACTAAAAGCGTTACTCTCGTAATTTACGAAGTGGGGATTTGACGTTTGGTTTCAGATAGAATTGCTAACAGATTTCTCTTAAAATGTGAAAGAATATTTATTCTTCCTACTGAAGTATTGAAGTACTTTGTTTTATTATTTTTATACAATTGACTCATTCGTTGAGATAATGCTCAGAGAGTTGACTGCTGATAATGGATCAGATTTTTTGGAGTTATCTCCCTTAGAACATATATCAAAACGACTACAAAAATCACCAGTACTGTTTTCAGGATGGAGTTTTGTGATAACCGATTACGTCTGAAATTTATGATTATGAATTTAATCTAACACAAAACAACTAACAGCAGCTGAAAGGTTAATTAAATTTTTGTTGTTTTAATTTTACTGGTCAATTGCTTAGAACAATATGAAAGAGACTAGAAAAGTCACCTAGGCCACTGTGATGACTGATTATGCGTGAAAACAAACAAAATTAACAACTGCTGAATGGAGAATTAAATTTTTGTTATTTTAATGTGTAAATGCTGATTATCAAATGCTAATTTTTAAAAATGTGCTATCTATTAGCATAAAAGATTGCTCAACAACTATTTTTATCACTACAGTATAAAATTATCTGTGTAAACTTTGACTTGCATCAAAACATGAAAACAGGCTCTACATTTATGAATTGTGTACTTCACAGTGTCCAGTGATGTTTACTGAAAAACAAAAGCATTTTTGACAGCATAAACCAACATTTATTGCCTAGGCACACCAAAGTGGTAAAAATATTGTATTATTTTATTTAGTTAAAAAATAGGTAGGTTCTAGTTATTTTCAATGACTTTAGAATATCTTTTAGTATCTGAATAGAAAATTCTAAATTGATTTTGATATTGTGTACAGATATGTCCTAGGCTAAAATACATCTTGGATAAGTGTACAGATAAATTCAAATAAAAATCTTTGATTCATTTATATGGAGAGATGGTAAATTGAATGGGATATTGTAATCATTGTCTATAAGTGCTTAGCACTCAACATTCAGTGAGTTTGATTGATTGAATATTTGAATATTCTTGTTGAAATACATGTATGTTAAATCCTTTAGAGGCATTTAGTAACTGGATAAAGCAACAAACTATAACATATACTTATGGAAAAGAATTATTTATTTTGAAAATGTTGAAATAACACTCTTCGAAATGTTGCCAAACTAAATTGTACTTGCATAAGTACGGGTTACAGTTTATTACAGTATGTTGTTGTCATGCTAAACCGTCCATTCCATTGTGATAATATATCTTAAGTGTGTGGGTTAAGATAAAAATTATATTTTAATATTATATTAAGTATATAAAAATGCTTTTATTACAAAGTCTCTTAATTTGACTACTGAAATTTGAAAAAATAGACTGCTGAATTGTTAAACATACATTATGCAAGAGCTAAATCTGCCTCTTGCAGGTCTTTCTTTAGGCCTGAAATGTTATCTAAATTATTAATTAGACATTAATTAACTTATCCAGACCATAATCAACTTGCGATGTCATCGCTAGCCTGCGAAATTTACTGGATTATGATCCGATTTGCTTCATGTTTTTTTATCGTACCAACTTTAGTAATGATGATTGAGGCTAGGCAGAAAATTTAATCGCTAAATTCTCAGTTCAGAGTGTATCAATTTGACTGAAATTTTCAGCATATTCCCTTTACATTATCTATTTTTGAACTATTATTGTGAGAACTGCCAGCTCTTTACCTAATCTCCCATAATGTATCTTTAAATGATAAACTATAATTAAAATGTTAATTTAATTTTTATTTCTTGCATATAATTAATATTTAGATTAAAGGATTTAAATTTTAATTTTGATAAAATGTGAATCCCATTCTCCGAATAGGATTAATGAATATTTTAATAATCTTTATTTTTTATAAGTAAGAATCCCAGTTATTAGTCTTAGTTTCCTGGGACATTGTTTAATTTGGATTTCTGGGATTATATTACTCTAATTATTTTCTAATAAAGTCAGCATGACACTGATCATGATATTAGATGTTCCTACAAACTTGTCTACAGTGAAAATAATTTATCTATGAATTATCAAAATAAATTTGGCTGTGCAATTCTTAATATCGCATAGCAGCTATTTCCATTTTTACACCCCTGGTTCTAATTGGACATAAAATCCCCAACATGCCAGTATGAAGGTTAAATATAGTGTTTTTATAACCATATACAATGAAAAGTACCGTTATTAAAAATAATTTTTGGTGCAATAATTATTCAAATCTATTTATTCAAGCTTAAATTACATTCATTTAAATTAAAGCTAACATTGGTTTCTATTGGATTACATGCCTGTATTACACTGTCATCCTAAGTGTCCTAAGTAAATGAAGTTAAAATAATTCCATCTTTTGCCTACAAGCTATAAGGCCATTTTTTTTATACTGAATGCCCTTAAAGATGCATTATGCAAGAGCTAAATCTGCTTAATGCAGATTCTTGTTTGGCCTCAAATGTTATATAAATCATTAATTAGACACTTATTCACATGCCAATCTCATAATCAACGCTCTAGACCATCGGTTGCTTTTGATTTTCAACGGATTTTAACAAGATTGTTAGTTAATGATTTAATTAAAAAACTGGATAATTGAGACTTTTTTTTTTAGTATTGAAACAACGGTAGCAATGACAATCGAGACTCTACTGTTCTTCTAACGGCAATAACTCCACTCAATAACTCCACTTAGAATGAAGTAATTTGACTGAAATTTTCAAAATATTCCCCTTTTTTTTTCTTTTTTTTTTAAACTATTATGCCGACAACTGTCAGCTCTTTATCTAAATCTTACATAATGCATCTTTAATTACAATCTTTATATTAAAATATAACGTGAATGACCTGACTTGTTGCTTTAAATGATAAAACTGCTTGTTTATATTGTTATTAGCTATTAATGTTATTAAATATGTTATCAGCCCAGTAATAACAGAAAGAATATGATATTATAATAATTAAGTTAAAGTATTTATTTGTTATTAGCCTCTTCGAAGACCATGTTTTATTAAGTCAGCTTTTTTTATTAATGTGGATGATTTGAGACTAGTCTAAACTGTCTAAATGTATGTTAATGTATATTGTAGTTGATGAAATCTCCACACAAATCTAAATATGGTTGTTTGTTTTTATTTATATATAACTTGTTTGCTGTGAGGTAATGTGTTACCTAATACTGATTCATATACAAGAGATATTGATTAAATGCTGATAAACTGAGGTAGATTAGAGCCAGTAATGAGCCAGATTATTAGATATTGTATAATTACCGGATTATCTGTTATTAATATATTTTATTCGTATTATTGGCTATCAAAGACTTAGCGTGGTTATTTACAAGGTGATTTTGCCTTATAAATAAGCTTTTGTCTCAAGTATTAAAATTATTGGGAACTGTAATTCAGTAGTAAGTAGTTTCTGTTATGAATTATCTAATTATAGTCATGTGGCTTAATGTTAATGACATAATATAGTAATTAAACATACATTGTGCTAGAGCTAAATCTGCCTATTGGAGGTCCTTCTTTAGACCTGAAATGTTATCTAAATTATTAATTAGACATTAATTAAATTATCCAGACCATAATCAACTCTCAATGCCATCGCTAGCCTGCAATATTTAGAAAATTGGAATACATTTTTTAAAAAATACTTAAACAAAAAAAATGGATTATTGAGACTTTGTTTTTTATGGTACCGACTTTAGTAACGATGATCGAGACTAGCCTAAAATTCAAAAGCTTATTTTATTTACATTATTTAGTTTTTAACTATAGCCAGAATTGTCAACTCTTTATCTAATCTCCCATAATGCCCCTTTAAGGACATAATAAGATAATTAATGAAGTTATCTTGTACTTAATTAGAGGTAGAAGCTAATCAGTCTAATTAGTTGTCTTTTGGAATGAAAATAATACCAATTAATTATGGAAATAACGGTTGTTTCTTTCCTTAAATAAAGGTTTATTACCAAAATGTAGTCAGATCAGATTGATCTGGAAGTTTAACTCAGACAAGGAAAACATTACCATATTTTGAAAATTGATAACAGATACAAGCTTAAGGTTGTTCTTTGAATTTTATTTTTTTTAAAAATATTTTATCAGTTATACATTCAGGAATTCTGAATGGTTGCAGATCGGTTGGGGTGGGTATTGGGCAAAATATGTGAAAGTCACTTGAAGGCAAATCAGATAAGATTCTGTTCTGTCAATACTGGTAAATTAAGCCAATATTGGTGAAGTAAAGTCATATGACTGATAATCCAAATATTGGGTATAGACATCCCAACACTGTACGCCATGTTGTTATAAAAATGTTGAGCTTCTCATTTGTTTATTTATATTTTGTTTTTAAATTATGTCAAACTTAAAGAAGCTAAACCTCTTTGATTTAAGTCAAAATATGGTATCGATTTGGGTTGGTCTAATGTGTTATAGGCCTGTCCTTTAAACTTTTGGGGGGGTTGGATAGCCGAATGGTTAGCACGCGCGCGCTGTATCATATGGTCTGTCATTGAGTCAACTGGCGGGGTTTCGATCCCTGGTTGTAGGTGACAAGGAGTAGGGTCGCCTGTCCAACCTCGTGGGTTTTCTCCGGGTCCTCCGGTTTCCTCCCACTGCTAAAGACCCCTACGCGCAAGCGAATTATTGAAATAAAAAAATAAACCATATGTTAGTTCCGAAGTGACCTAGTTTGTGTCGAGTGGACGTTAAACCCCATTTCTCTCTCTCTTTAAACTTTTGTTTTCATATCTCACAATACAAATCCATATATAAAATCCTATGGAATCAGCTATTTTGTTTCTGGCCTGGATCAAAGAGGGAGCGCCAATTTAAGATGTGTATAATATTATTTTTTTACTATTTATTGTTATTGTAAATATTTGTATATACTTTTCTTATTATTAATTTCCCAATAAATCCATGGAGTACAAGTATTAGTCAATACCATTTATATTAGATTGTTGTACTCAAAAAATAATGGAATTTGCTTTATAATTAAAGAGACATAAACCGCTCAGGAAACAAGTGGTACGAAACTGCTCGAAAACTAAATGATATCTAGCTGGTCTGAGTTCTCTGAATTCAGTATGAAAATAAATGGAATGGAAAAGTTTTTAAACCTGTGGTCAAAATGTTTCTGTTGATCACTTTTTTCAAATTTGCATTACCATAGGAATGTTTTGTCAAGACAGCGTTTGCCTGCTCTTTCAAGATTTAACTGGGTAGACTTAGGGTTTGAAGTCGATGTAAATCACTAGGTATAGTCCAACTATCTTCAATCTGGTGAGAACTGGGCAACAAAACTTGGGACAAACAACAGAGATTATAAGGAGTCACGGAACTAAAGTAGGAGTGAATGGGTCGAAAATCACAAACACAGTTTGTTGAACCTCTAAAGGTCATAATTTTTGTTCGAATTTGATTAAGGTTAAAATATATGTTTATTACACAACAATCACGGATGAATTAGATTTTTGTGAAAATCGGACCGTACGTACCTTCCACTCAACACAAACTAGGTCATTTCGGGACTAACATATGGTCAATTTTATTTCAATAATTCGCTTGCGTGTGGGGGTCTTTAGCAGTGTGTGGGGGGGGGGGACCGGAAGACACAGAGAAAACCGACGAGATTGGAAAATTGACTGGAGTTATTTGCCACGTGGTAAGTCTGCGTACCGCAATTATCAACCGATTTCAATGAAACTTACAGATTATAACATTAATAATATCTTAGAGTTAGCAAAATTGCGGTCACTTCCGGTAAGCAGACCTGAAGTGGCCGAAACTTTGCCTAGTCTGCGATGTTATTAATGTTATCATGATCTACGCGTTTCATTGAAATCGGTTGGCAATTGATGTCTGCAGCCGTGCCACATAAAATGTGTGATAACCCGCCCGAGACTTTTGGCTACTCCGAGATATTATTAATGTTATCATATTATTGATAATTGCGGTCTGCAGTCGTGCCACATGAAATGTGTGGTAACCTGATATCTCGGAAACCGCTAACCGGAAGTGGCTGAAACTTTGCCTACTCTGGGATATTATTAATGTAATCATAATCTGCATGTTTCATTGACATCGGTTCGTAATTGCGGTCAGCAGTCGTGCCACATGAAATGTGTGGTAACCCGATATCTCGGAAACCGCTAACCGGAAGTGGTCGAAATTTTGGCTACTCTGAGATGGTATTAATGTTATCATATTCTGTGAGTTTCCTGGATATCGGTTGGTCAGTAGTCGTGCTACATAACATGTTGATATACGTTAAATAGTAATCAGTATACTGAATTGTATGAACACATGATATACCTTAAATAGTAATCAGTCTACTGAATTGTGGGAACTTAGTTCGGTGAACATTGTATCATTGTATCTATGTACAAAGCAGTCAGTTTGATATTAAACTTCATTGGATAAAGACTTATTTATACATGTGTGGTAAGCAGATATCTTAATTGGGAACCGCTAACCGGAAATGGACGAAACTTTACCTACTCTGAGATATACTTTTCAAAAAAAGTAGGGGATATTGAAATGTAAATACCTATGTAGGTTGTGATATGATAAATAGTAACGGACACTTGACATGCTTTGAGAGTATGTTCACAGATGAAGAACTTATCGCCCCAACAGAAACACTGAGCTGCACATGCGACACGCAATAGCGCCATACACGTGGGAGGGGCTCATTGTCAAATTTGACACTTCAAGGAAGGGTTGAGCTTTCCTATCGGTTCTTGCATAATATTTACTGTTTAGCGTATCTTTGCTTTAGTGTGTTACGTTTAATTTCATCGGGAGACTTGTTCGTCGACGTCAACGTCCACCGACAACACTGCAAGAATTGGCCGTGACACTTCAAGAGGAATGGGTCAGATTGCCCAAAATCGTGATTGGAGGGTTGATTAGGAGCATGCTACGACGACGAATTGAAGAATGTCTGAGGATTGGTGGAGCAATTACTCATTATTAAGACAAAAATCAAAAACGTCCATTTTCACTTTTGACGGTGTATCTCTTTGCGAGTGAAATGGGACCGTCAGATAAGTCGCCCATATGAACTGTTTATGTTCATGTGTAGGCAATTGGCCTGTTATTAACATACAATGGTTACCTCTAATAAAAACAGCAGTGCATTTCCGCAGTTTTGTATTGTTTCGGAATATCCCCTACTCTTTTTGAAGAGTATATTAATATAATCACAATCAGTAAGTTTCATTGAAATCGGTTGATAATTGCGGTTTGGAGACTTGGCACATGTGGCAAATAGTCTCCGAATTGTCTTACCACATGTGGCAAATAGTCCCAGTCGATAATAATTGCGGCCAGTAGTCGTAAGGTTATTTTGAAATTCTTGCGACTACCGTTTAATTATCAAAAACCCTGTCCGTCACACTTTCTGGAAAACAATAACACTGCTTCTAATTAAGCTAGAATTTTCAAACTTGGTGTAGGTGTTTCACGACCCATTGTTCAAGAATTATAATAAAGATTCACTCTATAGTTTTACCTATAATAATTTACGATTCACTCTATAGTTTTACCTATAATAATTAACGATTCACTCTATAGTTTTACCTATAAATCATAGATATTACTTATGTTATCATATTCTGTAAGTTTCGTGGATATCGGGTTATAATTGCGGTCTGTAGTCGTGCCACATAAAATGCGTTGTATCTTGATGTTTCGGAAACCGCTACTCGGAGATATTATTAATGTCATCATATTATGTAAGTTTCATGGCAATCGGTTGGTAATTGCGGTATGTGCCGCATAAAATGATCTACTCTCTGGTTTTACCTATAATACATTATTCAATGTATTTACCTACAATGCATGATTCACTCTAAGTTCTACCTATAATACACGATTCACTCTCTAGTCTTACCTATAATACATGATTCACACTCTAGTTTGAGCTATAAAACACGATTCACTTCCTAGTTTCACCTATAATACACGATTCACAATCCCTAGTTTTACATATAATACATGATTCACTCTCTAGTTTTACCTATAATACTGTGTTTTAACCAGATTGAGTTTTACCTATAATACATGATTCACTCTAAATTAAAGTGTTACGTACACGATTCTCTAGTTATACCCACATGATCCTCTCGCTAGTTTTATCTACAAGGCCCGCTCTCTCGTTTTACCTGCATGATCCACTCTCTAGTTTTATCTACATGATTCACTCTCTAGTTTTACCTACATGATCCACTCTCTAGTTTTACCCACATGATCCGCTCGCTAGTTTTAGCTACATGATTCACTCTCTAGTTTTACCTACATGATCCACTCTCTAGTTTTATCTACATGATTCACTCTCTAGTTTTACCTATAATACATGATTCACTCTCTAGTTTTACCTATAATACATACTCATCCTTTAGTGTTACTTATAATACATTATTCACTCTAAGTTTTACCTATAATACATTATTCACTCTCTAGTTTTACCTATATGATCCACTCTCTAATGCCTGTAAATAGTGCCATCTAAAATATATGTTGAGTACCCCAAACCTTAGCATATTAGCTACCTTACCAATTCATCCAAAACAACATAAATTATATGAGAACATCAACTTCTTTACCCCCCCCCCCCGCGCGCCATTTGACATGACTTGTGGAATATGTCTAGCCTCGTTCTTTGCGTCCCTTGTTCAAAATGGTGCTGAAACGCATTAATTATGGTACACGATTCGTGTACCAATGGCAAAATGTTTATTTTGTCTTGAATATTGGATATCAGAAGCCCATCTTTTCCCTGTAAGATCACAAGACCAATGTTGATTTGAATTGACAAATAATTCGTGTTTTCAATGTCGAAGATTTTTGATCGAGTTAGAGGTCTAGCTACTTTAAAGATTCTAATTCTAACTTAACAACGTGGAAAATAGAAGAGCGTCAGTAGAGCTTGTTTCGAGAGAATATTATTTTAAGAGTCTAATATAATCACCAGACTGATTCAAAACAATCATATCAATCATACTGAATAATATCTATCTTTCTATTGAACTATTTGTTTTCAATGCAACGAAGTGTGAGTTCTTTTTGTTTTCTTGTCACAGATTGTTGTTAGTGTTATAGTTAAAGAGCATAATGAGATCTTTCACGCCGCATATCTTATTTGTATCTGAAAGTATATCTCTAATGGCCATGAAATGTCCACAAAATGTCTACAAATTAATAAAATTATTATTACAAAATGTATCTCAATATAGCACGCTGTTATATAATAACTGTGCCCTTGTTCCTTTCGGACTAGCAATTATTTGCCCATTGACTTCAATGTTAAATGGCCGTTACATCACAGGCTGTAGCTTTGCTCAACATTCCGTTGGTTTCAATCTTTATAGGCACAATGGGGACCACATTTGACAATATCCTCATCATAAATTTGTAGGGGGTTGACCATTTAGATTTTTTGCTACGGGAATTTGATGTTGACAGGGGTGAAAATCTCACTTCCGACACAATGATTGCTCTGCAGAAAGACACTTTACACCCCCTATCCCTCCGCTGTAATATCATCCGTATTACCCAAAACTGCTATGAAATTGCAAATTTGATCCCTTTTCTCCAATTCTAGACCAAAAGGTCAACCCAAAAATGCAGGAAGAGGGGAGAAAAAAAATAAGGAAAAAATTGTCTATTTATAACTCGCACTACATTCGTAGTCTTAGTCTTAGTCCTATATAGCGATCAACCACTCTCGTGCAAGTTAAACTACATGTAGTGTCTGAAAGGCATATACAGGGCCTAAAATAACGTACCTTGGAGTACGAACGTGCTTCGAAATGAAAACTCCGTGCTTCAAAAATAAGAAAACCGTGCTCTGAAAAAGAAAATGGTGTAGTGCTCTGAAAAAGTGTAAGGTAGCGATACCTCCTGATCCCTAATGAATGTTTCCTCTTCCAGTGGTCAGTTGCACCGGTCAGATCAGATCAGCTGCGGCTCGAT